AAGTTTTCCTAAAATATATTTACTCTTAATGAAATTACATGACATTAATTTTAATTCTATAACCTGTTTCCTTTTTTAATTAAAAAAATTCTCAGATTTGTATCTTAAAAGCTCAATTTCTTCTGCATATGACTGATTTCAGCTTTTTTTCTCTTTAAAAAAGCTGGGATGATAACTCTCACCTTCACTTTCTGTCAGCTCCTGTAATTTTTTCCCTTCTGCTTTGAAGTCTGTTGTTACGGCCTTACGTTAGAATATCTTAAAGGTTTAAGAAAACAATGTTTTTCCTCCAGTGTAACTTAACAACATACTCTTGGCCTTTCTTGATAGGTCTTAATTATTTAATGTGGTCAGAAAACTTTTGCGGTTGCTAAGAGTAATTTGTTCCCATATTCAAGGTACTAGGTTTTTCTTATGCACATTCTTCTATAATACACTGTAATACTCAGGATCCTCGACACACTCTTGCTGTGTCTGATTAATCCAACTGCCCTTTTCATCAGGTTTAAGGTCCAGGTTATCTAAATGGGCTTCCCATAAAAAGCAAACAAAAAAGCAATTGCAATACAGAAAGTTTTCCTTTACCTTTTGGGTATCTGGCCTAACAGAAACAAAGATTTTATGCTTTATCAAGATACTCCAACTAGAAAAACTAAAAGGGTTATGCCCCCTATAACTTCCTGTATTGACTTTAAAAAGCTTTTTTTTTTTTTTTTTGAGACAAGGTCTCACTCTGTTGCCCATGCTAGAGTCCAGTGGCATTCACAACTCACTGCAACCTCAAATTCCTGTGCTCAAGCAATCCTCCTGCCTCAGTATCCCAAGTAGGTGGGACTATAGGCATGTGCTACCACACTTAGCTAATTTTTCAATTTTTTTGTAGACACGGGGTCTTGCTCTGGCTGGTCTCGAACTACTGGCCTCAAGTAATCCTCCCACCTGAGCCACCCAAAGTGCTAGGATTACAGGCGTGCACATCCCCGTGCATAGAGCCTTTTGATGACTATCACTCTTGGTTAAATAAATGACCACTATTTTACACTGACTTGTGATTTTATTGTGAAAAAATGTTTTGAACCTTTAATATTTGACAAACTTTCTAAAACCAAAACTCCAAATTAATTCAGTGCTTTTAACCTCAAACTAGCATTTTAATAGAGCCACTAAAAGTCCAAGAGCGACATATCAGGCTTATTTGATGTGTTAAAGCTATACAGAAAGCACTGTCAAATATGAAATGATCTTTAACTTTCCTTGGGTTATAGTTGTATAAATATTATGAATATCTGTTCCAAAACTGTATGAGAGTCCTAAAATTCTAATATGTCTTGGTATATGTAAATAATTATAATTATGCTAAATTGCTATATGCCACAGAAATAACCAAATCTCCTTTGTGTCTTTAACCATGACTATTTAAAGACTTTTATCATCTACAATTATTATTTTACTTTGATTCTGCTCAAACAGTTTATAATCAGCTATAGTACAAGATATACCTTAAGAAAGTCCTGTTATTTCAAACATAACTGATTCTCTTGTTTTGTTTTTCAGAGTCAACGTAAGTAAATGGCGAAGTTTACCTGATATCTCCAGGATTTAAAACTATTGAATCCTGCCAGGCAGGCCTGTTATTCACTGCCGCTGCCCTGCTACTAAAACTACAAACATCTTTCCTCTAGGCCTAGGGAATATTGTGGAAGAGGTGGGCATGTGAGATTACAAGGGCTGATTTCAAGGGATGGAATTAGGTCAGACCCTCCAGATCAAGGATGGACATGCAGATACGTATACAAATATGAAATGAGAGACTTTGTCTTTTTGGCCCACGTGGTCCGAACGTTGATTCTAACAGTAAGAATTTCCTGCTTCCCGTAGACTTAGAGCTTCCTATGTACAGCTATTCCCAGTTATGGGGTTTATGCAAATAAATGTGTAGTAAGAAATTTATTGGTCAGCTTGGGACAAATTACTACACTGACCACAAAAAATAATGCTGTACAAAACAAATTGCTACAAGTCTGCAACTAAACCCAAGCATACAGTGGCTCAACACTTACAAATTTATTTTGTACCCTTGCCTTTGATATTTTGATTTTACTCTTATGTTACCCTAGAAGTTTTTAAGGGGTTGACGGGTGCCTGTCCACCTCCAGTCCTCTCTGGCCTAGAACGTTTAATTGGCTGTAAGCCAGTGGTCCCCAACCTTTTTGGCATCAGGGATCATTTTCATGGAAGACAATTTTTCCACGGACCAGGGGGATGGTTTCAGGATTATTCAAGCACATTATATTTATTGTGCACTTTATTTCTATTATTATTACATTGTAATATATAATGAAAGATACAACTCACCTCCTGTAAGCCCTCTGGGCTCTTAAGGCCCCTTGGCCACAAGGGTTTCACCAAGGGCCTGGATGGACCCGGGGCAGGTAGCCAAACCATCCTGGCAACAATGGGACAAAATAAAGGTCTGGCCAGCAATGCTACCTCTGGCAGATCTTGGCCAAAAAGGGGGAATTGTGAACTAAAATAAAATTTTAAGCCCCTCCAGCCAACTGAATGGACCTCCTCTTGGCCAAAGGGACCCCAGAAATTCCCTACAGCTGAGTTGCTAGCCCTGAGAAAGGAGGTCAGACATGCCTCATAAAGCTCCCCTCCCTTCTTTGTAACTCATTAATACTCTGAAGGCCATTAAGACAAAGTCGCTTGCCTCTGATTAACAGCGTTCCTTTACCATAAAAACATTCTAAGGCTTTAGACAAAGCTGCATTTCTTGAACCAATTACAAGTCAAAGAGTCTTTAAAACCACCTATAACCTGTAATTCTGTACTTTAAGATGTCCCACCTTTTTGGGCCAAACCACTGTATGCCTTCCATGTATTGATTTATGACTTCACATGTAATTCCTGTCTCCCTGAAATGCATAAAACCAAACTGTAACCCAAGCATGGCAAGATCACTTGCTCAAGGCTTCTTGGGTGTGGCTCTCCAGGCCTTGGTCACACATACTCAGCTCAGAATAAACCTCTTTAATTTTACAGAGTTTGGGTTCTCTTCCATTGACAACACCAATTCCCATGAGCTAAACTATAAAGGTCACCATTCTAGCAAACAAACAGTATTAATGAAAGAACAACTAATTACAAGTCAAAGGTTTAAGATGTTTTAGGCAAGTATCTATTAAGTCAAACAGAGAAAAAAGTTGAGACTGGTATTTGGAGGTGTGATTCAGAAACCTGGGGTATAGGTCCTCTGTACTCAGCCATCTTGAAAGGTTTAGGGATTTGAAAAAGGTACTGTTCATATGAATCTGTTCACAATCCCTGGATTACTAATTCCACTGGTTTCTGATTCCCCTTTCATATCTCCCCTAAAACGTTCTGAACTGGCAATTGTAACTATACTATCCACAACTTTTTGTCGCTCCAACTTGAAAATCACACGATTTACTAATGGGACACAGCACCTAACTGACTGAATTTCAGAAACCTTCAAAGAAGGTAGAACTTCAGAGGCTGCACTCTCTCCCAGCTTTAACACCTAAAGCTTGAGGCCAAAACCATTTTGTAATTCAGAAGCTCACAATTTTTGGTAACTAAGAAAGGACATAAATGCCACTAGGCAGATAGCTCCAAATGAAAAGTGTACTTACCCACTGAAAGTAAGTTGCTGTAATTCTCCAGCATCACATCCATGTACAGGATCCTCTGAGAGGGGTCCAGTTGCTCCCATTCCTCCTGGGTAAAGTCCACAGTCACATCCGTGAATGAAACTGATCCCTGAAATGGCATATTGTTATTCATTCTGAAGAGATCATGGTTTGGTGACATAGAAAGGATAAATGAAAACTTTTTCTTACCATATCGTCGTAACAGTTATTCACCATGAAAATTTACATATAACACCAACAGTACATCTTGTTCACTGTCATGTCTCGAAAAAAAAATTTTTGTAGTTAAAACATTCAGATTTCCTTATCTTTGGCCCTATCATATCTGATAGGTATCTAAAATTAATAAAACACTGTTTCTGCTCTCAAGATGGGTACAGGGAGACAAGCATATGAACATAAATATTTGGTATCTGATGTTACCAGTGCATTGATGATTATATAGGCATCAATGTTAAAGCTTTGAATATTAAAAGGCAGAAGATGTGCTTCCAATTATGAGAAAAAATATCAAAAACAAGGAGCTTCCTACTGCATCCAAGCCATAAAAATGGTAGAAAAAAAATTTATATAGTTGGATATAACAGATTAGAAAGATCTGAAAAGATAATGTCAGTAAAAAATATCCAGACTAAAATATAGAAGGAAGGCTAGGCAGGGGTGCTCACACCTATAATCCTAGCACTCTGGGAGGCCGAGGCAGGAGGATCCCTTGAGCTCAGGAGTTCAAGACCAGCCTGAGCAAAAGTGAGATCACATCTCTACTAAAAACAGAAAAATTAGCCAGGTATTGTGGTGCACATCTGTAGTCCCAGCAACTTGGTAGGCTGAGGCAGGAGGACTGCTTGAGCCCAGGGGTCTGAAGTTGCTGTGAGCCACGCTGATGCCATGGGACTCTACTCAGGGCAATAGAGTGAGACTCTGTCTCAAAAAATAAAATACATACGGAACAAGGATGGAAAATACATTAGAGTCTAAAGACACATGCAATAAGCTGAAAAGGTCTAATATACTTGCAATTATACTTGCAATTGGAGTCCTAGTAGGAGAGGAAATACAGCAGAAACAATATTTGAAGAGATAATAGCTGAGAATTTTCCAAAACAGCTTCAGGCTACAGTTTCAAGAAACAAAAACCCCACTTAGGCACATCATAATAAAACTAATAACCTCAGAACATTCAAAGACAATAAAACTGACAGCTTATTTTTCAACAAAAACAATGGAGCCACAAAACAATGGAATATCTTCAAAGTGCTGAAAATATCTAGAACACAAGTTGGCAAACTTTTTCTATAAAGGGTCAAGTAGTAAATATTTTAGGTTTTCCAAGATGCATGTAGTCTCTGCCAAAACTAATCAACTTGGCAAGTACACTACAAAAGCAGGCCTAGACAACACGTAAACAAATAGGCATGGCTGTGTTCCAATAAAACTTGATTTATGGATAGAAATCTGAATTTCATATAATTTTCACAACACAACATAATATTCTGATAGTTCCCCCCCAATCGTTCTTAGCTTGTGGGCCATATAAAAACAAGGCAGCAGGCCATTTGGACAATGGGCCATAATTTGACAACCCCTGATCTAGAATGATGACTGATAATAAATGTCATAAAGGACATACTCCAAAAAGAAGAAAATTAAACCCAGCAAGAATCAGTTGGATGCTATGGGAAAAAAACAAAAGCAAATAAATCCACAAAAGATATTAAATTAAGCAAATACAGAATAGGAGAAGGAGGTGTTAAATAATAAGCTATAATTAATTTTTGGATTCCATCAACTTCGTAGTTGTAGCATGGGGAAAGTATCATGTTTGGGAGAAAGATTCTGATTAAATTTTAAAATAAACATTTAAATAAGTACTGAAAAAAAGTAAGATAGCCCCTAAAAGGATGAAAATATATTCTGACAGACCAGCAGAGGGGGAAAAGTAGATCAATAAAATCAGTAATCAAGCTAAAATAGGGGCCAGGCACAGTGGCTCATACCTACAATCTCAGCACTTTGGGAGGCCAAGGTGGAAAAATCACTTAAGGGCAGGGGTTTCAGACCAGCCTGGGTAACAGAGCAAGACTTGCCTCTACAAAAAAATTTTTTTTTTTTTTATTTCAGCATATTATGGGGGTACAGATATTTATGTTACTTATGTTGCCCCCCCCCAAGTTACAAAAAAATTTTTAAAAAAATAGCCAGAGTGCAGTGGTGTGCATCTGCAGTACCAGCTACTGGGGAGGCTGAGGTAGGAGCATCATTTGAACCCAGGAGTTCAAGGATACGGTGAGCTATGATCATAGCACTGCACTCCAGCCTGGGTGACAGAGTGAGACTCTGTCTCTTTAAAAAAAAATAAAATGGGATAAATGTTTGTTAAAAGATTAACACCTTCATGGCTTTAAAAAAATATATATATATATTCACACTTTTTATAAGAGACAAACTTAACACAAAGCCTGAAAACAAAAGGCACAGAAAGCTGGCTCAAGTACGTCGATAATTAAACAGAATTCCGAAAGTATGCATATGACATGACCTAAAAATTCTATATAATCCCGTTAATTCATACAAAAGTACTTTTAAAAAGAGGACTGGATACACATCCACACAAAACTTCTAATACTGATTACTGCTAAGGTGAGAAGACTGGCTTTGATAGTCAAGAGGATTTTAGCAATGAGTGAGGTGACATAAAACGAAGAGAGACAGTATGCTAGGGAGGGCACATCTTCATATGATAGAGTAAGAGACAGAATTCATGTATGAATTGTGTAATATAAAGAAAAAACTTTAGGGCCAGGCGCAGTGGCTCACACCTGTAATCCTAGCACTCTGGGAGGCCGAGGCGGGAGGATCGTTTGAGCTCAGGAGTTCGAGACCAGCCTGAGCAAGAGCAAGACCCCGTCTCTACTAAAAATAGAAAGAAATTGGCCGAAATAACTAAAAATAGAAAAAATTAGCCGGGCATGGTGGCGCTTGCCTGTAGTCCCAGCTACCTGGGAGGCTGAGGCAGGAGGATCGCTTGAGTCCAGGAGTTTGAGGTTGCTGTGAGCTAGGCTGATGCCATGGCACTCTAGCCTAGGAAAGAGAGTGAGACTCTGTCTCAAAAAAAAAAAGAAAAAAACTTTAATGTGTGGAGGCAAATAAGCCAAAATGTTAAGTATTGACTAGATTGTATAATAGGTTGGCAAATTATTAGTATTTCTGTGTATTTTTCACACTTCACAAAATCAAACAAAAGAAAAAAAAAAACTTATGATCTACCAGGCAAAAAGGAAGAAAAGGAATCACACGTGACCAGAGAGGCAAAGATTGGAGTGAGGTGGCCCACAAGCCCAGGAATGCCTGCAGGCACCAGAAGAGGAGGGAGGCTAGGAATGGAATCACCCCTAAAGCCTCTGGAGGAAGCCTGGTCCTCCTAACACCTTGAATTTGGACTTCTGGCCTCCCAAATTGTGAGAGAATAAATTTCTGTAGTTTTACGCCAAACAAACAAACAAAAAAATCAATCGTAAAGAAATTTCTGAATGCTGGGTACAAAGAGAAAAGTTTATTAGTTTCAGGAGAGAGTAAGTCACATTCTGATAAGCACACAGAAGGCCTTTAGACTTCCTAAACCACACTATGCTACACTAAAAAGTAATGAATTCAAAATTCTGAGAGAGGCAAACCATAAAAGCTGGACAAAATAAAATGACCATTTGCAGGCATGGGAGAGCAACCAGTGCCCGTCTACTATTATTGAAAAAAGGGCATATAGGAGCAGAGCCCCACATTCACCCTGATGCTGAAAGGAAAAAAAAAAATATATCAGTCTTGAACTTTACATTCAGTAAAAATGTCCCTGAGGGTATTTTCCGAAATAGGGCACAGAAAAATAAAGCCCAGGCAGAAGTGAGTGTTGCTATATGGAATAAATAAAAACTGGCATTTGGGTCTGCAAAGCAACTGGGATTTGGGGTCAGGATGCTATGGTTTGAATATCTTTTGTCCCCTCCAAAAATTCATATTGAAATTTAATCCCCAATGTAACAGTATTGGGAGGTGTGGCCTTCGAGAAGTGACTAGGTCATGAGGGCTCTTCCCCTTGCAAATGAGATAAGCGCCTTTCTAAAGGCGATTTCAGGAGGGAGTCTGTCCCCTTTTTGGCCCTTCTACCTTCTGCCATTCAACGATACAGCATTTCTCCCCTGCAGAGAATGCAGCATTCAAGGTGCCACCTTGGAAGCACCTCGGAAGCAGAGACCAGGCCTTCAGCATACACCCAACCTGCTGGCACCTTGATCTTGGACTCTTAGCTTCCAGAACTGTGAGAAAATAAATTTCTGTTCTTTATAAATTACCCAGTCTCAGGTATTCTGTTATAGCAGCACAAAACAGATTAAGTCACAGGGTAATGGAGCTAAGGAAGCCACAGAAAAGAGGCCCTAACATTCTCCATAATAATTCACCTCAGATCTTTGCTTCGTTCTTACTATGTGCGGATGGACAGCAAGCATCCAGGGAAACAAGCAGACAGCAACAACTGGGAGACTGAAATCTGAACAGAGATTTCAAAGCTTGCACAGAGCTGGGAAGATGCTGCAGTTTGAAACTGGCAGGAGTAGAGATACTGGTGAACAGCTGAGATCCCAGAAAAGCCATGGGAGTAAGGACCATACCCTAGGAGAAAGGACTATGATCTAACTGAAAAAGACCCCCTTGCAAATCTGAAAAACAAGCTCCAGCAGGATCAGAATGATCTGCCAATAATTTAACTGTCTGGCCAAACAAAACATATTTTAGAGGGAGCTATTAATATGTATCATACAACATGTCCATCATACAAACAAAAATTACTAGATGTGAAAAAGCAAAAACAATGAGAAGACAAAACCAATCAAGAGATAAACAAGGCAAAAGAAGCAAATGTAGAGATAATCCAGATTAGAGTTAGCACACAAACACTTCAGATGAACTGTAAAGTAGTATGTAAAAATATAAAGGTGGTCAGAAAAGCATATAAGCTGTAATCCCTAGAGCAATCACTTAAAAAAAAGAAAGAGAAAAGGAAAACAGGAACAGACAAGACAATAAAAAATAAATAGCAGGATGATAGACTTAAAC